CGTTGTTGTCATTTATATTAATGAATAATAATGATAATAATAATAATAATAATTGTTATTAATATCATTATCATTGTCATCATCATCATCATTGTTACTATATTTCAGGTAAATCGCTGGATAAGATCATGGAACTGAAGGAAATGTCCGGCAATGCTGACCTGTTCAACGCCATGAAGAAACTGGAGAAGCGACAGAAGATTATGGAGAAGAAGCAGGAGGCGCAGGAGAAGAGAGGGAAGCAGCGAGAGAAGTTGGGCGTGTTCGGATTCCTCAACCACAGACTGGCGGCGGGGGAGAAGGGTGAGTACCTGGCCAGTAGGCTCGTGACCACTCAAGGGTTGTCTCAGAACTAAACCAAATGAGGCATGCGTAGCTTAGATTTCTGTAGGAAATTTCTCCCCACGAAAAATGGACAGACATTGCCTATTTTGGCTTTGGCTTTTGCTTCAGTCAACCCCCTTCATGACAACCCCTTCATGACAACCCCCTCCGTGACAACCCCTGTAGTCCGTTTAAAAAACAAAATGATGGTTCTTCATTTCTTTAGAATATTTACAGCAAAAGAAGCCTCATTTTGATTAGGTTTGAGATATTCCTTTTGTTTTTCTTCTGACCTTGATCTCTTATTTTTCCTTTTTGTTTTTGCGTGTGTTTTTTAGAGGCTTCGTGGGATTTTAACTCCCTTCATTCCTATTTCTTCTCATTGTCTGTCTTTCTGTAACGTCTTTCATCTTTCTTTTATTCTGTCTTTTTGCATGTGTTGATAGAGACTTCATGGATTTATGTTAAATTTGGGCGAGTGTGTCCAAATTGCAGGCTGGATGAAGTAATTTTGAATATCTCACGGGCTAAAGCAGAAGGAAATGGGTGGAATCGGTTGAAATACCCAAGTTCTCAAAAGTGAGATGAAAACTGACATTACAGCATGTTAAAATTTAAGATCTGGTGCCTCCAGCTGGGTCAGAAACTGTCCATTTTTATTTTTCAAGATAGTTCTGATAGTTTTGTTTTTATTATGATTATTACCTCAATGTGAGCCACATTTATTATAAATTTCTGGGTGGACTCTGTGAGCCAAACTGAACCTTCTCCCAGGCTGGATCTGGCCCACTGTGCTGTCTGTAGTTTGCCCATGCCTGGTTTGTGTCGCACTTCTGCCTCATTTCTTCTTATTGTCTGTTTTTTGGAAACATCTTTGATCTTTCTTTCATTCAAATGTTTTTTTAACCTTGACTTTGTTTTTGTGCAAACATTATGTAACATTGTTTAATCTTAGTGTTGTCTTAAACTAACTCCATTTTCCCTGTTTTGACGTAAATCACTTCGAAAATGCTGAATTCCTGTTGCAGAAACAGAACTTAGTAGACCTACATAATGAAACTGAGGTATTCTTTTACTTTGACTCCGATCTCATTCTCAGGTTTTGTAAAATCCTTTTCTTGTTCATTTTTATCCGTTTTACACGAATATTGACTTCATACTTGTCGGTATTTAATAGTAGAAATAATTGATTGTTCTCTTGAGAACTCTACCACACTTAGCCTAATTGCATTGTAATTTCTGCACTTTGGACCATTTGGTGGCCGCCTTGAAGTAAAAAAAAATAAATCTGAGGTCCTCCCCTGTTTTTCACCATATTTTGACGTTTTGCAATTAGGTTTGTGAAATTTTCTGAAAGTGACTGATTTGCAAGTTTTAGTGGCTATATTACATCTATGATCTGCTGCAAAAAAAAATTGGAGGTAAGATTTTTCAGCAACCTTGATAGCTGTGACAAGAGGGTTGCTGGGGGATGGGAAGGGGGGGGGTTAGGGAGGAAAAGGGGATGGAGAGAGACGCTTTTCCAGCATCATATTATTTTGTCATTCGCTTACCGAGACTTTCATTACCGTCCAGATGCTTCTGAATTGATGGGTTCATTTCTTTCGATTCAGTTTATGTGGTCTGTTGGTGGGTGCTCTGGTGTGGTTTGCTCCTTCTTTCCCATCAAACATCTATCTATTTAGTTATCCTTCTCTTCTTTAAATGTGATTCACGTGTCGGAACACCTCTGATATTCGACACTTACACGATCTAGATGTGTTGCGATGCTTGTAATACTCTTCATCTAAGGGAGGTTAACTTCCAACTGTATTGTATATCTTTTGTTATTCTGGATGAGAATGCTATTTAATGATTGCTTCCCTTACTAGTCTCTCTCTCTCTCTTTTTCTTTCTTTTTCTCTCTCTCTCTCTCTCTCTCTCTCTCTCTCTCTCTCTCTCTCTCTCTGTCTCTCCCTGTCTCTTTCTCCCCCCCCTCCCTCCCTGTCTGTCTATCTGTCTGTCTGTCTGTCTGTCTGTCTGTCTGTCTGTCTGTCTGTCTGTCTGTCTGTCTCTTTCTCTCTCTCTCTCTCTCTCTCTCTCTCTCTCTCTCTCTCTCCCTCTCTCTCTCTATCTCACCCCCCTCTGTGTATGTGTGTGTGTGTGTGTGCGCGCGCGCGCGTGTGTGTGTGTGAGAATTTCTCATGTGCCTATTTTGCTATTCAAGAAATCCGCACGGACAAATAAACACATGAACAAACAAAATTAAGTACATGTATGCAACTGTGGATAAGTAATAATACCAACAAAAGTATGCAAGTGGGTTTTCGCTCCTTTATTTATGAAGATTTTTCTATTTCAAATATTAATTGCACAAAATTATATAAACATAGAAAGAAATTTAGTGATTGCTGAAGAGATAAATGCTTCAAGTAGAAACAAAAAAAGTATGAAAAAAAAGAAACAATCTCAGAAGCTGCCAAGCAAAAAATCAGCTGTCTCATAAATATACTCGTATGGTAATTTAAGTCACAGCACAAAAAGAATAGGACAATGGTAATATATTGGACCAAGCGTTTTGTTTTATTATTTTCTTTGTGTGTGTGTTTGTGATGAACTTCATTTGTGAATGAAGGAGATAATGTGCTTTGCCTTATCTTTAAAAACAGCTTAGAGCTCGTGGCGAAATTATTGCAGAAGAAGAAATACAGACACTGATGTAACCGTGATGGAAATTTCAGAAGAGATATATCTTTTTTTTGTGACTTACAGGATTTCGAGAATTTTGGAAACTGGGGGAGATTTGAGTTTCCAGTAACAGCTGTTATAAAAAAAACGCTTTTAAATGCAGTTAACAGTGCATGTCCCACGTTTTTGTCTCACTTTTAAAGTCTAGCATGCTCATAGCGAAATTGGCGGAGTGTGGACATCTTTTCGTTATATACGAATTTTGCTATGTGTGTGTTTAAATACAAAGAAGATATATATATATATATATATATATATATATATATATATATATATATATATATATATATATATATATATATATACGTTATACGTATAAGCAAACATTCTGACCTGAAAATCTGTTTTCTATGTCTGTGTTCGCTATGAGCGTTTTCGCTCTACTATGTGCACTTTTCACTATGTGCGTGTTCGCTATGTGTGCGTGTTTCGCTATGTGTGCGTGTTTCGCTATGTGTGCGTGTTTCGCTATGTGCGAGCTAGACTGAAGTTCAACAAAACCGTAGTTCAATACGTTGTGGAAATGTTGGTGTTCATTGTGATGTCCTCAAAATATTATTATGTCATGAATTGCATAGCCATCCTTTCTCTACACATCGCTAGTAATGCTAGAAACCACTGTAACAGAATAGTATTATTGTAAAGCTTCTGCGAATGCCCGTGGTAAGAGGAAGGAACAGGAAAAGCAGACGACTCACTGAGCTAATGACTAACTACTATATCACCCTTTTCCAACACAAATCTACTTTCTAAAAAGCATGGCTGATTTGTAAATAAAAAACTGTAGTCAGCTTTTGCAGGAATATTTATTGTTTCAAAGCATTTTTTAAAATTTTAGCTAAAATAAACATTTCTCTATTTGCAATACTTTAAATAAGCTCTGTATGATTTTTTTGTTTGTTTTGTTTATCTTTTTGATATATGTACATGGCTATTATCACATGAGGCATAAAGGGAAATAGAAGATAGAATTGCACTTGAGAAAGCACACAACGCTAAGGGTATTGCAGGGGCACAGCTGTAGAGAATACTTCTACTGTACTGTCTTCCCTTGTGCATAGCATAGTACATACAGGATTAAAATGCTTAATGTTGGCAACCTTTTTTTTGTAGACACGATAATGCTTCTAAATACACTTGTCCGACATATTATTTAGATACCGTCATGTCATGGCAGGTATTCGAAGTACCGTTAGCACTGTTCCTTCAATTCATTTTTTTCATTTTCATATATTAAAAAAATTAGAAACTCAGCGCCCATGGTGTGACCTCTCACCGTGTTGTTAACTTTCGCTCTCATTTAATCATTGTAATAAGCCAAAAGCATTCTATCCGCATTTTAGTTTTAGGTGCTTCGACATTTTGGATGTCAAAAGGAAACAAACATACATACAAACAAACAAACAAACAAAATTAACAAGGTTTAATCGCCCAAAGGAAGATAGAACCTTTGTCATTTGTACTTTGCTCGACACTCCCCTATATAGCACCAAACGCACAATAATAAGTTTAGATGTTGCCAAGCCATTTTGAGGGCGTATTAAACTTTTAAAGAAAAACACAATCTCAAAAAGAGGCCTGAACCATCTTGAAAAGTGCCGTGTTTAGTATACTTTCCTTTTCCTTTACTTTTATCCGCCGCTTATACCCTTTTGTGAGTCGCGGGAAGAAAGAGACGTCTCTCTGCCACCAGCCGGAGAGCTTGGGTCAGGGGGGATGCCATGAGTTGTTAGTGTTTCCCTTACTCCATCTGTCCAGGTCTTACGTGGTCGCCCTCTAGCCTTGTTGCCATTGAATTTTTGTATGTAGGCACGTTGTAGGCAACTAAATTATGACTGGTTGTCCGCGCCGAACCACGCCAAGACGGAAAGAAGTAAAATATTTGGTTTTGTACAAAAATAGTATTAGTGGATGGTTGGCGGGTGCTCTGGTGTGGTTTGCTCTCTTTCCTGTCCAAACATCTATCGTCCTTATCTCTCCTCCTCCTTTTCTTTGAGTATTACTCTCTAGTAACACCTCTAATCTCTGGCCCCTGTATGATCTACTTGTGTTGCAAGTGCTGTAAAACTCTTACAATCATCTGCTCACCTGAGTATTTAGCACAGCTCGTGCGTTGTATAAACTTCTTATGACCAATTTGTTTTGCGAGTACCGTAAAACTCTTTGAACAACGAAGACTGAAACTGGCTGCTCAGCTCTCAGTCTGTCCATTCAGATATGCTGGTACAATGTACATCTACTGTACTCATAAATATTATGTGTTTGGTTTAGGCCCATAACCGAAATTTTTCACGATGGAGAAAAAAATGCACGAACTTTCTTTGATATCTCTGTTTTGTCTGCTCTTGCTTTTGTCTGTCGATCAAAAGTCTTATTTTATGCCATACGTTTACATAAAAATGTGTGGTTTTTTTTAAACGTATTATGTACAGGTAATAAATGTTGAAGAAGTATGATGTGGGATAAACGGGGTAGAAGTTGAAAAATGGAAACGGGAGTAGGAAGGACCAGAAGTAAAGGTAGAAAAAAATGCTCATCGAAAAGTTAGATTATCTTGCCCTTGCCCACCCCCCCACCCCACAGTAGCACCTTAAAAATTACGTGACCCATTATTGCGGTCTTCTTGGGTTGTGAACGTAAGCTTACTATGTACAGTTTGTGTCTCTACCTTTATACGCAATACTTCTGTATTGTAAAATGTTCCCGTCAGCGGTTGGAGAGCCAAGATTTTAATTTGGAATGATTCTCGGTGGCGCGTGGATGATTTTATTCAAGTTCACACACATTCCTGTAACTGTAATATATTAATGTGCATGTGAGAGTATATTGCATATATTAAAATATAGGGTTAAAAGAAAGATTTATATTTGTTGTACAAAAAAAAGGCAAGGAATGTTATAGTCGTGAATATGGCTCGATCTTTTTTTTTTAAAAAAAAAAAGAAGAAAAGGGGGCAAGAAGGAGATGGGAAGAAAGACTAGGGGTAGGGATGAGGGTATGGAGTGGTGGGTGACGAGAGGTGGGGGTGGAGGGAGGGGCGTATTTAGTGGAGCCTGGGCCATGTTCCTTAACCTGTCTAGTTTGGCGCGTTAATGAGAGCTCTTATCTCTAAATATACTATACATGCGCGTACAAATTTTCTTATTCATTGACTTTAAATCAGCAAGATGCTAGTGCTTCTGCCTGGGTGGTTAGCACGTTTACTTACACCTTATTTTCTATCAAACGTCTATTGTCCTTATCTCTCCTCCTTCTTTCTTTGTATATTACCATCTAGTGACTCCGCGGACGTTCGGCACGTATATATAACATATTTGTATTGAATATTGCATGTGTCGTAAAACTCACTAAAACGTAACCCCCCCTCCCAATCTTCAGATGCAGATTCTATATCAGCCTATGACTCTTTCGGCATTTCCCAATAGACGGCTTATTGATTTCTATGCATAAGAAAAAGTATTTTGTGCCAACGAACAACAAATATTGTGTGTCATTGCCAGTCGTGTCGTGCAGGTGGTTGGAGTACTTCAGTGGTAGGTCCTACTTCTTTTTCTGCTGTTTCTGTCTATCCGTCTTGTTTCTTCCCAGCACTATATGACCCTTGTTGTGTCAATGTGCTTCTCTTTGCTCAAACTCAAACTCAGTTGTTTCATGTTCATTTGGGTCATATACGGTTATGTTGCGGGTGGTTGAAAGGCGCCACTGGTAGGTCCTACTTCTTTACTTTCCTTCTGTTGTTTCTGTCTTTCTAACTTTTTCTGAGTACTAAATGACCTTTATTATTTCGACGTGCTTCTCTTTACTCAAACAAAGCAAGTATCATGTCCACTTGAGACATATCCAATCAGTTCATATCCACCCCTGTAATCAGTAGACAGGTGATCGTGTGAAGGTACGGCTCCGGCTCTCGTCTGCCCCAACATTTCCTCGCGTCATATCCTGACTCAGTGTATGGTCAGATGCCTCCACCTCTCTTTCTTCTTGCGGGCGATTTCTCTCATGCGTGACTTGGCCGGGGTGTTAGGCGAGGCCAGAGGGGAGCTGGGTGACCCCTGTCCGTCTCTGTCGATGACCCTTCTGGTGGAGCCAGGGCTGCTCTCAGGGCTGTCGTCCTGGAAGGAGGAGTGCTTGGAGCCCAGACGGAGTGGCGGCGGTTTGCGGGAGGCGGGGAGGACCTCGGATGCCTGCGGGACTTGTGATCGGGTTGTGACGTCACTGAGTGTGGATGACGTGGAGGATGTTCTTTCGGTTGTGACGGATGATATCTCTGATGGGAGGCTGATCTCGCGTGACGTCGATGTGGTGGAGTTTTGCTCCATGCCGGATGATCTGCTACTGAACGCGCCTCCGGGTGCCGTCTCGCTTGTTCTGGTGCTGAACGCGCCCCCGTACCGCGACTCGGTGCCGGTTGTGCGAACGTTCGTCATCGTGGTGTGCACTGTGGTCGTGGTGGTGTTTGTGGTTGCTGTAGCTGCGCTTCCTTGGTTTTGCAGATCGCTGCCGCTATCGGCTGTTGTTGTTGTCGGCGGCTGGTACATAGAGCTGAAGAACTGGCTTCGAAGGCTTGCCTTGGATGAGGATAACGAAGACGACGGTGACGTAGAAGAAGTAGTAGTAGTTGTTGTAGTAGAGGGAGGAGGGGCGGTTGTGGTTGGGAAGGTGCTGGTGGTGAAACGCCTCTGGTAGCCTGTGAAAGCGGGCTTGGTTTGTTGCTGTTGCTGTTGTTGTTGTTGCTGTTGTTGTTGTTGCGTTTCTGTGAGCTTTGTTTCTGTTTGCCCGGTGCTGGTTGGAACTGGGTCAGGCTTGGAAGATGTAAGTGACTGGTTGGTACTGCCGTAAAGACCTGTGGTGTAGCGCCGCTGGTACCCGGTGAACGTGGGTGGCGCCTTTGACTGTTCCGCGGTGCTCGTTGCTACGGCAGGTTCCTTCGGTTTCCCTTCTGGTGCGGGGACTTGTTGAGATGACGAGTCGGTCGTGGTTGTTGTGCCGGTGAGAGCAGCAGATGTTCCCTGGCTGCCGTACAGCCCCGTGGTGTACCGTCTCTGGTAGCCCGTGAACGTCGGTGCTGTCGTCGTCTGCTGTTTCTGGGGTGCTGTTGGATGTTCTTGTGTTGCTGTTAGCTGTTCTTTTGCAGCTGTAGAATCCTTTAGTTTCGCGTCTTGCGCTGGGGGGACTGGTTGTGAGGATGAAGTCTCCTCAGATGTCGTTTTGGAACCGATTAGTGATTTTTCGTTACCGCTGTACATGGCTGCCAGCATCTTGGCCAAGTCCAGGGGTTCTTCAGAGGGTTTCACGTAACTCCTGGTGGTGTACTTGCCGACCGTTGTGGTCGTGGCCGGGGTGGTGTATCTGCTGGTGGTGGTGGTGGTGGCGCTGGTCGAGGTGGAGATGGTCTGGGGGCGGGGGGCTGTGGTGCTGCTGGTGATGTTGTTGGTGGTGGTGTTGTTGGTGGTGTTGTTGTTGGTGTTGTTGGTGGTGGTGACTTCAGTGGAGGCGAGCGTGTGCGAAGTTGTGGTTGTCTGGGCCGCGGCGGGTTGGGGATTGGGGACAGATTGGGTCAAGTGTCGGGATTGAGTGTACAGGGATTGGGTGACGGGTTGGGTTTGGGTGGCGGATTGGTATTGGGACTGGATGTGTTGTTGGGTTGTGGCGAGTTGTGGGGATCTGGGGACGACCTGGGACTGTGTGAAGCTGGTGACGCGGGGAGGGTGTGAGGTGAGGGGGATCTCGATGACCTCCGTGAAGGTTTGGGTCGTCTCCTCCGGCGAGCTGTCGTCCAGGTTGTCGTTGATCGTGTCGTCGTCGTTGTCGTTGTAGGCTATCTCTTCAACCGTCTGTACTTCTGTCGTGGATGACGTGCTAGTAGAGTCTCGCAGTGACTCTGTCGTCATGTCGTGACGACTCGGTACGCCGCCGGTACTGATGGCCTCTTGCTGGGTTGTGGTTGAACCTTGCTGTAGTCTCTGTTCTCTGTCCTTGTCTCCTTTACCTCTCCCGTTTCCAGTTCGGCTCATCTGCTGTTTGAGGCCGGAGAGTTTGTTCCGCAGCTGCTGCATCCGCCCCACCTTGAAGTCGTCCGGGGAGGTCAGAGGTGAGGAGCTCACCACGCCCTTTTCTGGAGACACGTCAGAGGAGTCGCTTGTTGTGGTGGTGGTGCTGCTGTACTCTAAGGAGGCTCCTCTTGTCGCTGTCGTCAGTGCAGGATTGGGCGTGGCTTGTGACGTCATGTGGGGCGGCGTGGCTCCGGTGCTCTGCTGTTTGGCCGCCTCAGGGCTGACGAATCCTTCGTTCTGAATGAGGATTTCTTTTCGTCTCTGCCACGTCTCGCGCAGGAATTCCATCTTGGACCGTTTGTCGGCTGCGCTGCTGATGGCCCGCCTCACCGGCCGGCTGCTGCTGTTGTTCATACTGCGACCTCGGTAGTCGATGGACATGTACTCTTGTGGCGAGAGAGGCGGAGAGGACTCGGATGAGTAGCGGCGGCCCGTCGGCGAAATGCTGCCGCTGTGTGTGTGTGTGTGTGTGTCTCCGTCGGCGAAATGCTGCCGCTGGGCGACTGCCGCCTTGCCGCACGGTGCTGCGAGGACGACGAGGAGTCGAGTCTGGATCCGTGACCGTCGTGTATCGGCGTGGTGGTTTCCGAACCGGACGCTTCTTCTGGGGAGGAGATTCTCTCTCTTGGGTGTGCCTCCATCTGGTGGTGGAGATTCCCTCCTGGTTGTTGCGCCAGCGGGGATTGAACCTTTCTGCTTGGCGAGCTGGGGTAGGAAGCCTCCTCGATGACTGGGGAAGGCACGTGGACTTCTTCCGAGCGGACGCCGTGAACGACGTGGTGGCTGGCGCCGGCCCCGAACTGGAACTTGATTTTGGGTTCTGGCGGCGGATTGGACGCGCCCACGGCGGTGCCGCTCTCCTCCTCCTCCTCGCTGTCGATGCTGGGCGCGGCGTTGAGCGGAGCGCGCGCTGGCCGTGACTGATTCTGTAAACCCTGGCGGTCTAGCGACTGCACGCGGCTCCTGGAGGTAGACCGCTGTCTGCGCCGCACGTCGGTTCTCATCGGGGACGCGTCTTCCCGGGCGATTTGACCCTGGCGTAGGATTTCCCGCCGGCGGTCTCGGAAGTTTTCACGCGCGGTCTGGAACTGCTGGAGATATTCCTTGACCTCTGGGCAGTCCAGGCCCAGGTCTGTTCTGTGTCTCCGCGAGTTTCTATCCAACTTCCGTCTCGGGGAGACTCTCTTGTTGCTGTCGGAGCCGCGCCTGACCTGTTGGGAGCTATCCGGCGCCTCGTCGTCCGCCATCACGTCACCATCGCGCTCCTCGCCACCGCCGGAGGTACTTTCACGCAGCTGCTGGCGTGAACTTTGCGCGGCGTTGTAGAAGAAGACATCGCTTCCGTCCCTACTTCCAAACACCGAAGTTCCGCTGCTTCTACTGTTACCACCATAACCACCGCCCTCCACCACCGCCGCCGCCGTCGTCATATTCCCCATAGGGATGTCCGTGAAGTCGAGAATCTCCGGCGTGAACACCGACACGTCGTCCGAGCAGAGCTGCAGCTCCCCGAACCCCGCCGCGACCGCCTCCTCGATCGACTTCGCGGGAAGATCTAGGTCGTAATGTGAGGTCGTCAGGTGCACATCGCTCACCCCCACCGACGGGCCCAACAAATAAGGGCTCAGCGCGTTGATCTCCGCGTCTTTGCCCAGCTCCTGCACGCTCTTGAGCACGCCCACCTCGTGTAGGACGTTCCGCAGGTTCTTGCGCAGCTCCGTCTTGCTCTTGTCCGTCTGTACGTACAGCGCGTCGTCCGCCGCCTTGCCGTCGATCTGAGCGATAAGTTGACGCTCCATTCTCTTGATGAAGAACTGGAACTGGGACGATCTGTGAGTGGGGAGAAAAAAAACAACAACCCGTTGGTGCGGTTGGGGGGGAGGGGGGTGGGGGTGGGAGCAAACAGGATTATACTACTTAATGTAGTTGAGAACTAGCTATTATCATACATTCTTATCATCATCATCATCATCATCATCATCATCATCATCATCATCATCATCATCATCATCATCATCATCATCTTCATCGATAATGATAATATTTAGAAAATAAGAATATGATTAATGCTTATAATGATGCTAACAATCAAATGAAA